CAAAAGTCCTTATCTTGCCTAACAAGTGCAAGATATTTATTTTCTACTCATAATACTATTTATTAAGGAAATAGCATAAACCAAAAAAGAATTATAAAAATACATAGATAATTAAATACGGAGTCGATCAAACTTGTCCAAATATGCTATTGCGAGCTCGTCTCCATCATCCTCCCCCAGTTGAGAAGGATTCGCCCTCGAATCCGAACCGAGCTCGTCTCCGTCATAGTCGCCCGAGCTGCCAAGAGGCCAACTGCGTCTGATATAGCCATATAAAGATATATCGGTCCAAAGGCTCTCTACTCGACCGGATAGTGGCTCAAATTGTTCGACATGTCGACATGCATCCGTCGACATGTTCAAGTCGACTTCCTCCAGGTCGACTCTTAACAAGGTTGATGACGAGAAATGGCAGATGCCCTACAGGTCGACTCCCGAAAGTCGACATTGTTCAGTCGACTTCCCGAAAGTCAACATCTATTTGAGAAAACCAATAAGAGCGTAGCCTCTGAATAACCAGAAGATCATGGGTCGACTCGTTCATACTCCATATCGACTCCTTGTACCTCGAGACGTGAGGCACTCCGACGATTCCATACACTTGGTATATTTATTGGAACCTCTTGTCCTTCAATGGATAAGAAGGAATCTTGAGATGACTCAGCAAGGAGAGGAGACGAATCGACCGAGGCAATTTAGACCTTTTAGGTCCACCGACTTGGGCATTTCGGGTACTTCAAGTAAGTATTCGCTCCTATATAAAGGAGATGAGGTAACCCTAAACCCTAACTTTCATTCATTCTCCACTCTCCCTCATAGCTGCTGCGCAGCCTCTCTTCATCACTCTCATATTGACTTGAGCGTCGAAGGCTCTACGCCGGAAACACCTCCGGCGTTAAGTTTTTGCAGGTATTCTCGCGGTCTAGCAACGGTTCGAAGGCAATTCAAACAGATCTGAGCTCCTTACCACCGGTTCACTCCAGATCCGAGAGTAGACCCATCAGCATCACATGGAAAACATCCAACAAACGAGCATGAGAGGGCAAGCGAAGACGGTAACCAGCTGGAGGAAGCCAATCAAGAACCTCGTAAGGGCCCACTCGTCCGTCCACCAGGGAAACAACCCACACAAAGTCGCCCACATCAAAGACCACAGAACAACTGTCCACTGCTCCAACCAAGTCTCCACGCGGCTTATCCCGAGAAAGAAACAATGCCTACGACGTCTGTTGCAAAGGGGCCGAAGGATGTAAGATAACCCGGTTGCCCTCAAACAGAAATCCATACGTGTTAAGGCGCCCATCATGAACCACGGCACGATCAAACTTCTATGGACACCCTAATAAAAGGTGACAATCATCCATAGGCACGACATCGCACCACACCTCATCCCTATACGCAGAGCCAATAGAGAACGACACCAACGCACGCCTATTAATAGAGACCACGTTGTCACGCCGTATCCATGCGAGAGCATAAGGATCTAGATGCGGCTCCATCGACAATCCAAGCTTCGCCACAGCCTCGACAGATATCACGTTCTCGCACGACCCAGAATCAATAACAAAACGGCACACCCGGCCGCCCACCGTGCATGTAGACTCGAAAAGCTGTCGACACAGGCCCTCATCAGTGAAAGTGATGGGCGGGGACAAAAGAGAGCGACGAAGGAAAAGCGCATGTCCCACGTCTCCCGAGACATGCACCTCAGGAACATCTGGCTTTTTGTCAAAAATAGGAGGGCCATCATATACCGCAGCTGCCGAATATTTGATGTCTCTTCGGCGAACAAAGCACGCGACCCGGTCCCTTTAGGACAAGCCGCCTGTCGATAGCCCAGCTCGCCGCACCCGAAGTACCTGATCCCGCCACCAGTCCGTTGTCCACCCGCGGCTACCGTCTGCCCTCCACTGGTCACATTGTCGCGCCCCAACGCCAGTGCCGAGCCCGAGTGCATGCCCAAAGCAGGTATCCTACGCCCGGACTACAAACCCGCACCTGCAACACCATTGGTCAGGCCCGTCTTTCGAGCCAACTGTTTCTCCACAATGAGGGCCCGTTGATGTGCATCCAAAACCGACTCCGGAAAAAATAAGACTAAGCATATCCTGTATAGCAATATTCAAACCTCCCACATAGCGAGCAACCAACTGGCCCTTTGACTCACGTAGCTCCACACGAGTTAAGAGACGATAAAAGTCCTTCGTATACTCGAAAACAGAATGCGGGCCTTGCTGCAAATTATGCAACTGTTGATAAACCACATGATCATAATTAAAAGGGAGAAATTCACGTTCTACGTACTTACGGAACTGCATCCAAGTGGAGATCTCTGGCTTTCCCTGGCGATGCCGCATACTCGTGAGTTGCATCCACCATGTCGCCGCCCGTCCACGGAATCGCTTGGCGACAAGCGCTACACGACGTTCTTCAGGGACCTCCTTAAACTTGAGGACGGACTCAACGGCAGCCCGCCAATCAAGGAACTCCGCTGCATCCGCTCCTCCTGAAAACTCGGGAATCTCAACCCGAAACCCGAGATCCCCGCGCGACTCACTGTCGCCGTCCACCTTGCGCATATCACGTCGGTGCGGTTTGCGGCCTCGACCAACACCTTGGTTGAACCATCCGCGGGGGTGATGATCGGCATGTACAAGTTCCGGCCCTTCCCGCTGCTTCAGCCCGTTGCGGCGCCTGTCCGTAGGGACCGAAGCCCGGCCCGTCGTGCCTCCGTTGATCACCGTCCGCCCACCACCAGTCATCTTCCTCGCGAAACCCTAAGTGGCGGCGACGGACATCACCTCTGCCCATCGACTCGTCATCATCCTCAAAGAAATCACCCCCTCGCTGGTACCCTTGAGGACGACGACCAGGATCACCTCCACCGAAGCCTCGAAAGTCGCAACCTCCAACATGCTCCCCCTGCGCAAATCGGACATCGTCATCGGGCCTGCGGCGCTGCTCCTGGGTGAAAGGGTTGTCGACGTTGATGGTGTCTTCATCGTCCTTCTCGCCGGTCGGAGTCGCGGGTGAACGTTGACGGGGCGCCCCGCCATGACCACGTCCACCACGGTCTCCTCGAAACCCTCCGCGAGCGCCCTAATTGACGGCGTCGCAGTTCGCACGCACCTCCTCCATCATGGTCCTTATAGCCAGTCGAATCTCTTCGACCCTCGTGGAAAGTTCTGTGAATCGATCCTCCATCCCTTGAATCCGATCGTCCATCCGTTGGAATCGGTCGTCGATGGTTGGATCGTTTGCAGCGTTTCCTTTCTTTGGCGGCATCGCGGATCGTGCTGGTCTCTGAATACCAACTGATGTAGAACATTATACAATCGGGCCTTCTTGAGATACTCTCCCAAGACGAGCAGATAATTTTGAGATACTCTCTCACAAGAACACATAATTTTCAATTCCAACATGAGTTCTTCTCACGGTTTTCATTCAATATAAATAAAACACAAGAGTCCTTATCTTGCCTAACAAGTGCAATATATTTATTTCCTACTCATAATACTATTAATTAAGAAAATAGCATAAACCAAATAAAAATAATAAAAATACATAGATAATTAAATACAGAGTCAATCAAACTTGTCCAAATATGCTAATGCGAGCTCGTCTCCATCAATAAGTCCTAAACACACAACGTGCCACATGGTTAAAGATGCATCTATTTACCTAACCAAAATTTCTCCCTAGCTATTAAAAAAAAAAAAAAG